GCCCTTCGCTTGACATGCACTCCCGCGGTACTTCGTACGCACTCTCGCGTCAGAAGTCTGAGTCTGAAGTCTACGTCTGAAGCACGCGACACAAACGTATTCGGGCCGCCACAAATACGCGACACAAACATATCCGGACCGCCCCGAGCATGCGACACCACTGTATCCGGACCGCCCCAAGCATGTGACAACACTGTATCCGGACCGCCCCAAGCATGCGACACCACTGTATCCGGACCGCTCCAAGCATGCGACAACACTGTATCCGGACCGCTCCAAGCATGCGACAACACTGTATCCGGACCGCCCCAAGCATGCGACAACACTGCATCCGGACCGCCCCAAGCACACGACACAAACGTATCCGGATCGTCCTAAGCACGCGACACAAACGTATCCGGACCGTCCTAAGCACGCGACACAAACAAATCCTGACCACCTGAAACGCGCGACACAAGCGTATTCGGAGCGCCTGAAGCCTGACCTGAGCCCGAGCAGGGTGCCGAGTCGTCGGCCGGCGCGGCCGCCCTGGCCGCCGTGGCGCCGCCTGGGCGCAGCGAGACGAACCACTCGTCGGCCCGCTTGGCCAGGTGGAACGGCGGCCCGAGCGACGCCAGCATACTCAGCACGCTGGTGAAGCCGCACTCGCTGATGTCCAGGTGGCGGCCGAATGCGCGCTGCGGGGGACACACCGCTCAGTGGAAGACGCCTCGGTAGTCGCTACCGCTGCCGGGCGCGCTCCTACAGGCGCTGACGGCGCCCGGCTGATCGGGGCACAGGATGGCTGACAGCGCCCGGCTGATCGCGGTACAGGGTGGCTGGAGATCCACTCCCGAGCGGGCCGATCACACCAGCTCGGGACGTCTTCCACCTCGGCTCACGCTTGGGTCAACGTTCACGGGAGCTACCTGTACATACCGGCTCCTCCCGGCATCAAGAATCGCCCGTTCACTTTCACGTGGTACGGTCTTTAACTTTGCAAATGGGAGATGGGTACCATGAAGTGCAGCATCACAGGCGATGAAATGTAAATTTGTTCATGAACATAGCTTGAGAGAGGGAATTAGCGATGTGACCTTGTTTGGGAGACGTGAGTACGTAGGTTACAGTGGAACTGAAGGCTCCAAAGTGTAATTAAAGATCAAATCACCGTGAGCGGATTATCCAATTCTCAATGGAGGGACAGAAAAATATTTTTTAAATAATCCTCAATCTCGCGGGTTTCACACAAAAGCCTGGCTTCTAATAGCATGGATCCTAGTGAGTCAGCCGGATGAACCACAATCCAGCAATTATAACCATTCGGTAAGCTGGACATCTGCTCCCTCTCAGGTGTCACTATCATTAACTTGAGTGTTTTAGGAAAAAATTGGGCAGATTCTAACGTTTTTGCCAAGTTCAGGATAAACCAGATGACTTAAAGGGAGTGTTACACGTTTGTGCGAGTTTTGAACTCAATTCGTCATCTTGAGGAGCATTTCTTGCAGTTTACAGTCCTGCCCTTCGTCGAGACCTAAACCCCTTTGATTTATGAACTAGACGCGCGCGAAGATGTGCAGATTATTTTGGGGAGGGGTGAGTACGTCAAGGTCACTCAGGCATTCATAGCGCCATAATGCCGTCATTCAAATTTGCCATGCCATTAGCCATGCGGCGGTCAAAGCCCCCAAATATAATTGTCGAGTCGTTCATAACTGACGTTCGCGAACGCGATTTCCATATAAAAACGCCGGTCAATTGGCTCTCAGTCCATGTTGTGCAAAATACGACGAAGTATCAGACAATGGCGTACTGAGAAGCATATCTATTAGCACCCGTTCGGGTGGGGTGGGGTGTCAAATTGAACCCCGAAGGTTTTTCCAGAATGGTTCCCGAACGGCGCGGCGTAGCCACGCCAAATTTAGCATAGCTGTGGACAATTGAAGCGGATTATTTGGCCTCATAAATTTAGATGTACCTCGCAAGGTCGCTGACCTATGGCAGGTCAAAGTTAGGCCATGGCTTCAGCGAAGTCAATTCTAGGGAATCGTTCATTCTGATGCAACAACGAAGTGGTAGACGAAGCCGCACATCTCTGAGATGCTTTCCTAAGCGACACAAATATTGAGTGAGCAAATAACGCTGACCTAAGGCCACGTATGAAGGTCAGACCAAAGTCAAAACCGACCAGTTTTATTGCTTTAGGGCTCGCTGTATGGGATAGTTGCTCGTGCTCATTTCAAAGTTATTGATGGCCGGAAACGCACTACGCATTTTCCACGAGCTTCCTAGGGGTCGTTATAGGTCACTGACCTAAAACAACCCAGGTTAACATCTTGTTTTTATAGACATGTCTAGCGTTAACTTTGTCTCTTATTCAAATGCACAACTCAGAGCAGCACCATGACCTTCAAAAGGTCAAACAAGGTCACTGACTTTAAATGAGCATGCGAAGTTTTGCTTAGAAACAGTTATCTCGGTTCTGGGGTACTTTGGAGACCAGCCCGGAATCTGACCTTGTTTGACCGTATTTGACCCAAAGGTCGTGACCTAGGAACCTCAAAATTGACCCAAGTGAGTTTACGTAAAGGTCAACACACCCTATCGATTTGGTGCCTCTAGCTCTCTTAGTTCCAGAGATCTCAGGGGAGAGGGGCAAACTGATCCTCCCCCACCCGAGCGAAGGGTATCTAGCCGGCCACGCGGGCGCGTGTTAAACAGAGAAGTCGTATTGTCTAGAGCAGTCCTTTCTGCTGAAAAGTGTTTCAATGGTTAAAGGTGAGCTTATTCCATCATATCTGACGTCTGCTTCAATATCTTCAAATGTGCAACAATCCCGTAAGTTCATGCATTCCATAGGAATGTGTTTTCGACAGAGGGCATTTAGCCGCGGCGTCTAGCATGTGCATGGAGTATACTGAAGTGCAGCTGCAGACGCAAACAACCGGCTCCAAAGTCACGCATCGCTGGACATGTTACGGACGCGAGGCCCGCCAACAGGAGGCAACAGGCGGCAGCACCTGCCCCTCGAGAGCGCTTGGTACCGCGGAGGACACCGGGCGGACCGGCATGCGTCAGAGCGGCCGGAGAGGACCGGTCCGCCGGCCGCGCCCGGGCCCGGCCGGGACGGAGGCCGACCTTCCCGGCGGCTGGCTGCGTCGGACGGGAGCACTGACCCGGGCCGCGCCGCGCCGCGCCGGCATCGGCCGGCAGAGCGGCGGCCGCCGCACCGGCCAGAGGACCGCGGAGGACACTCTCCGCGCCGCCATGCCCACACGTGAGTCCCGCAGTGAGCGCGCCCGTGCCGTGTGTTCGTGCGGCGGGTGCGGCCGTGTCCGGGACGACGCCAGCGGCAGGCGGCCTGGGTACCGGCGCAGCTCGCGACTGCCGGGGCAGCGGGGTCGGACTGCGCGGAAATCCCTACGATCGCAGCGCTCTTTTTCAGCGTCCCTATCCACGTTCCAATGGTGATGAGAAAGAACCATACGTACGACTGAGCGTTCGCACTACATGAATCGTCTAGTTCTGTATCAAGTGCCGACTCTGAAGTGGTTGATAGTGCTGGGCGTGGCTGTCCTGTTGACCTCTACGTTTACAAAGTTATGTTTCTTACCATCATATTTCGTACCGTTCTGATCTATAGCCATTCCTTCTGTGACTAGTGGTCAACTGATCCGTGCGAACCGGACATATCAATGCCACAGCTGCATATGTGAACTCACAGACATATGCAGCCGTTGCGTGCTGGCGTGACCCGGACCGCGCGTGGATGTCCCGCGTGCGCCGGCGGTGCGGTCGCCGCCAGTCGGCGGTCGTCTGACCCCTGACCCCGCCGCAGCGTCGCTGCTGCAGCCGCACCTGCGGGAGCCGCTGGCCGCCTGCCTGCTGCTGCTGCTGCTAGCCACCAGCGGACTGCTCGGTCAGTGCGCAGCCCGGCCGGGCGGCCGTACCGCGCGGCGCCACCAGACGCGGCCGGCCGTGTAGCGCCAGTCACTTCATGCTGTTATGCCGTCCTAATCCGCCCATGACGCATAGCATGGCACTCACGGAGCTTCATCCCGCCGTATCGTTTTGAACTTGGCCACGTGGCGGTCGTGTTCCCGTTCGTGGTTTATAGCCACTGATGGCACGTTTCGTATCCAGTGTAACGGGCGCATCGGCGTCGCTGGGTGGTCACGCTGCCAGACCAGACCGTGCGCGGGGCGAAGGAGCGCGGGCACGTGCGCTGCCGGGGACCCCTGGCCCGCCGCGTGTCGGCCCGTGCGCCCACACGCCTGCGTGCCACTGAAGCAAGACGATCCGGCGCCTGGCTGGCGGGCGTGTGCAGACGGCCCCGTCCCGCTTCCAGACGGGCCGTGGCAGGCTGGCCGGGACCAGGCCGACCCGCGCCTGCTGCACGAGATCCAGCGCCGGCTCGAGCCGCCCTCCCGGCTGCCCTACAACCTCAAGCTACCCGCGGCGCGTCCGCTGGGGCCAGTCGCACCAGGTGTACGTCATCCAGGGCGCTCACCAGGAACAAGGTGAGACGCCACGGCGCCGGCCCGACGGCTGACCGGTCGGGGTGCGCGTGGCCACGGGCGCACGTGGCTCAGGGCTCGCGGAGCTCGAGACGTGCGGAGCTAGGGGCGCGCGGAGCTCGGAGTGCGCGGAGCTCGAGGCGGTACGCTGCGGTGTCCTTAGCTCTCGCTTTCTGCTCCTCACTCGGCGAAAATCCAGGCTATCGTCGCACCGGCACTGCTCTGACAAAACCGTTCGCCTCCTGGACCCCTCCCCCATTGCCGTGAGGTTGCCTGCCGAGTGTGTCCGCCTGGCTGCCGCGTGCGCCACCCTGGCCGCTGGCCCCTCCCTCCTCCCCGTCGCGCGGTCACCCCGCTCACCCGGCGCCGGCGGGTCGGCAGACGGGGCGGCTTTCTTCGTCGAGTCGGGGCGCCTACTACTGGCGAAGCACATGACCAACTCGCTGCTGCTGGAGCGCACGTTCCGGCTGGAGCGGGCGTGCTGATCGAGCCGGCCGGCTCCATCGTGCCCGCACTCCGAGCCAAGCGTCGCAAGGCCTGGGTCCTGCAGGCCTGCCTCAGTCACCTCGACACGGACCTCAAGGTACCACCGGCCGGTTCGAGGGGCGGGGCGAATGCTCCTCTCGTCCCCCAAGCGATGAGGAAACAGAGCTCTCTCTCTGACTTCGGATCTCAGCACGTTGTCCACTGAGACCGGCAGCACTCAGTCGAACTCCCATTATTTTTCCCCACACGACGATGGGTAAACAGCGTCCATTTTCCCAACGTCAGCGTTTTGGTACGATCCCAACTGCTGTCAAACTCACATGGGCCGACCTGCCGGGCAGTGAAGGAACTGGCTTGACGCGGCGTCCCGTCCTGACGACGCGAAGCGACCCGTCTGACGGAGTCCACCGTCCTGACGGGGGTCCCCTCTGATGGAGTTGTCCCCTCTGACGGAGTGTCCCCTCGTGACGAAGCGACCCGTCTAGGCGAATCGTCCCCGTCCTGACGGAGTGTCCCCTCTGACCGGAGTGTCCCCCCTGCTGACGAAGTGTTCCCGGTCTGAACGAAGTGTCCTCTCTGACGGAGTGCCCCCTCTGACGGAGTGAGTGTCCCCTCCGAAGGAGTGTCCCGTCCGACGAGTTGTCCACCCTGACGATGGGTCCCGTTCTGACGAAGGTGGTCCCCGTCCTGACGTGATGTCCCGTCTGCACGAAGTGTCCCGTCTGACGGAGTGTCCCCTCTGACGAAGTGTCCCGTCTAACGTGATGTCCCGTCTGACGTGATGTCCCGTCTGACGAAGTGTCCCGTCTGATGGAGTGTCCCGTCTGACGTGATGTCCCGGCTGACATGGCGTTCCACCGCGCCGGCAGGCCATGTTCCGCGACGAGAAGAAGTGGGGCCTGACGACGGTGGAGGACGGCATGACGGCCGAGCGGCTGTCGGACCTGGCGCGCAAGCAGACGCACCCCAACAAGCTGGGCGACCGCTACCCAGTGCCATGCTACCCGCTGTACTCGATCCTGCTGGCGCTCGGCCGCACCAGCGTCGACTTCCTCAGCCTGGACGTGGAAGGCACCGAGATGGGCATCCTAGCGCACGTACCCTGGCACCTGGTGGACATCAAGGTGAGGGTCTGGCGCGGCCCAGCAGAGGGCCGGCGCGGCCCAGCGGTGCCGCCAGCGGAAGGCCGCACTGGTGCACTCTCGCCGCCAGCGTGGCGCCGGGCTAGGACCGGGTGTTGCCGCACGGGGTCCAGGACTGACGGCGCGACGGAGAGCAACGCGAGTTCCTGGTTGTAAAGCCCAGGGCGGTTGCTTCACGCCACAAACAGCGGCGGGCTTTTGTGTCGCAGCGACGACGGGCGCCGATGTGGGCGTGGTCCACCACCCTTGTTGACATGTTGATCAATGATCATTGTCACGCCGATCAACGGCGGTGCTGGAACGACTTCGGTATCCCGCCACTATCCCCTTCCCCCTCTTTGACTTGTTACGAAGGAGGACGAGTTCTTTGTTGGGTGCGTTGCAGCCAGCAGGGACCATCCATTGTGCCAACGGCGTCCGTGCAGCCCACATAACGACCAGCGGGAGCTACGTTGTAGCCTACAGCCGCCAGCTACCTCATACGCGGCCGCTGTCGAGCCACCGTCACGATCGGCCCAAGCGCACGGGCGGCCGGCCTAACCCTACGCGTGGCCGCCTCCGCAGATCCTGCTGGTGGAGAACTTCATGACGTACCTGTGGAACCCGCAGACCGACATGATGCGCTGGTTCATGGAGTCCAGGGGCTACCTGGCCATGCGGCTGCAGCACGATTGGTGTTCGTGCGGCGCGATTGCGAGTACGGCCGCCGACGCCGCCGATATCGTGCGCCGCGCGCGCCGTCACATCGACCAAGCTGCCGGACTCCACGGCCACCGACCCCTTTAACGACTGAGGCGGGCCGCGGGACAGCGGCAGCGCGGCGCGGCGCGGCCGACAGAGGCTTGTCGACACCAGGGACGAACTGACCACGACCTCAGGGAGCTCAGGGACCGGCGGGTGAGAGAGGGACCTCAGGGACCGACGGGTTGAGTGAGGACCTCAGGGACCGGCGGAGTGCGGCAGGGACCTCGGGGACTGGAGTGGGGGAAAGGACATCGAGCAGCGGCGCGGTGCGGCGCCGGAGCGGGCTGTGCGGCGAGCATGCCACGAGCTCGCCAGGCGCTGCTGAATAGTACCCGTGAGCGAGGGCGGCGGCCGCCGCGGTCGAACTTGTTTTCTGGGCTGAGGCGCGGCCCCGATGCCAGCCGTGATGTGCTTCGAGGAGGCTCGCAGACAGTGGATACAGTGCTGCATACCGCGACCGAACAGCCTGTCGGTCTGAGCCTTGACAGCGTATGCAAGCGGCGCATGTACCGTCTTTCCCTTCACTTGTCAAACCCATAATCACGCTGGCTTGCCCATTGCGCCCGCGCTCTTAGTGAAATGCATACAGCTGCCTTGCCAAAATACACGACGCCACCCAGAGTGAATAAGGAATTGCTTCAAATCTACCTGAAAAGACGGAATGAATCGCAGCGCAGGAAACGTGAGAACGACATGAACATCGAAAGCCGAGATGTCAAAATATAAACCATAGTATATTCAGCTGCCGATATCGATCCAACACAGACACCGGCCTAAAGGGATGAGCGCCGGCTTTGGATCGGTCACGACTATGCGGCAGGCAGTCATTTTGTGTTGCTGGTCCGGTTGTGACAACGACTTCCAAGGAGCATAATAAACGACAAAATAATGACAACCCAGGGGGTGAAGCCGCAAGAG